AAGTTTCGATATATAAGAAAAAAATCCATAAAAGATTAGAATCATTCTTAAAGCAAAAGATCATAACAAGGATATCTCATATATACAAGTTGATTAACAAGAATTCACACATCAAATATATTTAGTACACAAATCTCCATTTTCTAAATCAAATTTTGCGGACCACAAAAGTTTAAAAAACGCATATACTGACGCATTAGTATTTAACAGAATCTGCCTAGACATAATAAACTAACCTTTAGCCTCAAACCCCATGAATGAATAGTGATTTTGAACCCCACAAGAAACCAACACCCCTCTATGTACGAGTGAAAATCTTCGAATCCCTCAAGGTAAGAAAAATATCTAAATATTCAGCGATATAAATTTAAATGCAACACAAGTTCATCACACCCACCCATAAATGAGATTTAAACCATACTTTCCAATAAAATCGACATGTACAATGAAAAATAATTTCACATTCTTAAAATAGAGGAGAGTTCAATAAAATATGCATGAGATCGCAAGGGAAACATTATCAATTGACCATTAGTCAAGATCTAGGGTTTTAAGAACCAAAAACTTACATAGGATGTGAATCAAGTATTTTTCCAATAGAAAATAATTATGTTATTGCAAGGAATCCAAAAAAAAATATAGATATATTGTAATTATATATAATAGCCCTAGCGTTAATGAATAGAAAAGGAAAATAAACGTTACCTTAATTCCATGAAAAATTTCTCCAAACATGTTTAGTGTGATTGCCTACGAGTTGATGTCCTCAAAATCTAGTCCTATTTCTTCCTTTTCCTTCTTTTCATCTCTCCTAGGCACCTTAGGGTTTAAAAGCATGTAAAAAAAAAACCGTAAAACGCGTTTGTATGGTATTTATGGTGTTAAAAATAAAGAAAACCCTAAAAGATCGGGGATAAGTTTAGCGAGGCGTCTAGACGGTTCCAACTTTTAGTTTCATTTTTCTAATTTGCGTTTGAACGGTGGGTTTGCGTTCGAATGCTACCAATTTCAAATTTCAGAATTTTGTTTCAACGTCCAACCCGATTTTGACTTATTTAGAATTTTATGAAATACACTTTTGTAACTCTTGAAGTTTAATTTTTAATTCTGCAAGAATTTGGTTAATCGGGCATCAGGGCGAACAATTATGACTAAAATACCAAAATAGTATCAATTTCTTTCCTAATACCTTCAAACATCTAATACACCTTATATCATTTATCTCCAAATTGCTCGACCTTCTAAATTTAATGATATCATTACTTTGACCCAAAAACAACTAAAAACTTGCCTAAGTTTAAATGCATATAAAACTAAATTTAACCCAAAAGTCAATACGCGTGAAATTCAAACTTCATTATCATTCCTTCAAAAAGGATTCAAAATTTCTATCATCTCTTTATTTGTTTTAGAAGAACTCTTAAAACCACATTATTCATGTTTATTTATAGTACGAGATCTTACATTAACGACTTAAAATTATAATTTTTAATAATTCTTTAACAATAGTAAGCAAAATTAGCAATTTTTACTTTGAAAAAGATATAATATCGTTTCATTATGATAGATATACAAAATGAACATGACAAAATAAAAGAGTCAGAACTAACATTTAGCTAGTTGGTTTGTTTATGAATATTTATTTATAAGATTATAGTGTAACTAACTCATTTTTTTAATACTCTTTTGATATGTAATAGTAGATAATATTTAAAAGGAGTGCGTATAAATTAAAATTAATATCCTTCTCAAGTTTTGTTGATGTTTTATATTATATGTGAACTCAAAATCAAAGGATATACATTAAAATTAAAAATTGTAAATCGTACTTCATGTGTAGACATATCTGTGAAGTATTATCATATTTTATTAATTATCGGATACATATAATGTGTATCCAATACGTGTAATTAAATATTTGATGAGTATCATATTCAATATAGATACATCGACTTTGACAAAATATCCGTGCTTTATTGGCTTTACCACCCTAATGTTTTGGCCACTAGTACCTAACCTCCTATGGTTTAAAAACTTAAATTTCACTGTTAAAATTGATGGTTAACTATCAGAACTAACAAATTTGCATAAACAATTTAGGTTAGAGAAAGCACTTTAAAAATAAAAAAAAGGAATGATAATATTGCTTTTCACAATGAATCATTAGTCCCATTTGCCGTTGGATTTTAGCCCACAACTTTGAAGGGATAGACCATGTATAGGTTTGTAAACTATATAGGGTTGACGAATTTTTAATCCATGCTACACATAAATGAAATACAATATTTCATTTTTAATTTGAATCTAAAGCATAGACTGCTAGATATACACATGTGCAATAATTATAGTGAAAATAAACGTAAAAGTCTTCGAGAGATTTGTTGAATAAAGGACAAGTGATCAGTAGTATCATGTCACGAGTTGAGCAGTTGTGATTGATTATTATGTTAAACAAAAAGTCATTTCTTTATTAATATGATTGATTGTTGATTTCAATAGCAACAAGTGATCTGCCTAATTTGGCCTCGACGAAGTTGAGCTGTGACAGTCCATTTTTCTCCATCATGACATGATCAACAGATTCACGAAATAATCCATTTGGTCAATGATTGGTTCCTATTGTATAACTACTAATAAAATGAAAATGAGACGGGAATTTCTGAGCATAGCAAATCATCTATCGTGTATCGGTGAGAAATTAAATTATATAAAGTGGGTTCTATTTAATTTGGATTGGTAATTTATAATGAGAAAAAATTAAAAAAAAAAGTGTATTAGAGGGGATATGAATTCTTTTACAAGACCGACGCAATGAGTATTGGATTTTATTGAGAAAAAGTTTGACAGTATTAATTTGACATTTGCATGTTTTGATTTGTTATATTGTTATGGATAACAATGGTGATGCCTTAAAACTCGAGTTCTTATTTGGCTTTATCCCTATTACATGCAGCATTAATGAGTAGGCATTGTCAAGGAGGGGTATGAATTAATGGATTCAACTCTGTTACACTTTCACTTATCGTAAATTGTCTATTGTATATAGATGAAGGTCCCACTCCCTACTTTATGCAACATTTACGAGGCATTGTCTAGGAGGGATATGAATTATGGATTCAAATTCACTGGTTTATACTGTCACTTTTAGTAAATTGTCTATCGTGTATAGATGAAGGATGCACAAAGAGTGGGCTGCACTTGAATCTATGAGTAAGGTTGAGGTATGTGTATGGGGGGGGGGGGGATCTCAATCATGAATTATAACTCAACATTGGCCAGATATATAAAGTTAATTTTAAGTTTAGATATGTAAATTAGAACATCTCCAACGCCCCTTGCTACTCCGTCCTTTTAGTTGTTTTGGCGAGCAACTCTCATAAATTCAACTCCAACGCCCTAGCTATCCACCTTGCCAAAATTTAGAAAGTCAAATTTTCTCGCTAGATTTAGAAAGAAAAAATTGCTCGCCAGTTCTTGCTACTCCTTCCACTGGTATGCTCCAATGGAGGGTGGAGGTGCAAGAACCTAGATGCGTGAAATGCCCCTCCTCCCAAATTTTGAAACCCCCAACAAATTTTGAAACCCCCCCAAAAAAAAAACAAAAAAAAACAAATTCTTAACCCCCCGAATTTTGAAAACTCCCTTAGTTTTATGTATAATAGAATATTTACATTTAGACCCCTGTGAAATATTAACGTGAGTATTTGAGAAAATTTTAGATTTATGAGACGTATTGTGCAATTGATTTTTGTTATTTAAAGTGGATGAGTGTTAAATTGCCAATAAGTTGTATTATTTAAAGTTTAATTAGAATTATTATTATGGTATGATTTTGGTTGATTTGATGATTAAACATGCTTTGAGTTGAATTTTTGAATTATATTATTAAAAATTAGTTGAAATAGTCAACTAAAATAGAGAACGTTATTGAAGTGGATTTGAAAAAATAGCTAACTAAAATAGAGAATACAATATTTAAATATATTATTGATAGCTATTTTACTGAGAAGAGTTGGAGTTGCTCTTATATGGAAATCAAACTACCAAATCATCACACCTAACATGAGATTGTGCAACCGGTTTCGTAGTTGAACCCATGAAGTTTTGCTGTCTATACCAACATGCCATGTTATGCCAGGTTGCCACACTGAGAATATATACTTTCTGTTTGTCAAACTACATTAAAATACATATTCTGCTGATTTGGTGCTGCAACTTGTTATGGGTTGGATCAGGTGCAATTCAACCTAGAGCCCAGCTAGCAGAAACTTAAACTAGAGTTTAGGTTGGTTTTGATATTCAATTAATAATCCTGAATACATCTTGTATCTACACATGGGGCAACATGGTTTTTATATTTTCTTTGCAGATTTTTTTTTGGGTAAGTTTGTTTGCCAATTTGATAATGTCAAAGATTTAAATCCCTCGAATACACTTTCTCCAAATATTCCACAAATAGATCATTCATCATATATTAGTATTTTTTTTTGAATAGTAGTAGCATATATTAGTACGGGACCTATTTATACACGATAGGTTCCACTTGAATTCATTATAGATAATCTATAATTGAGATTAAAAAAAAATATTAGAGAGGATTGCTTTCTAAATGTCAACGTAGTGAACTTGCATCTCTTATACGAATGACAAAAATTCTATGCCCTCATGAGGGTTGGATAATTTTTAAGACACTTTCTTTCAAATTCACCAACGCAATGATTGATTAGAAGCAAAGTGTATTAAAATAGATATGAATCTTGTCGCATCATATATGGGTCATTACTTGTAGTATCATTTGCTTCATTAAATTTACTTTTTCCATAGTTTTTCTTCCTTTTTTTTATTTCTCTCTTTGTTTCTCCTTTCAAAAAAACATTTTCATGGTTTTGTCTTTGTGGCAAGTCCACAGCCAGCTCATTCCAACAAACTCATACCCCACATCTCTTATCCCATAAATCCCCATTAACATTCATCCCATTCCCTCCACCAACAACATCACCATGGCTTACACACCTCTCTCTCTCCTCGTCCTTCTATCACTCACCACCCTGCTCCTCCTCCTTTCTCCTCAAACACAAGCCCAATCGCCCTCTGCTCCGGCCCCCGCCCCCTCTGGCCCGATCAACATCACGGCGATCCTCGAAAAACCTGGCGGATTCAGCGACTTCATCCACTTACTCAATGTGACACAAGCCGGAAACCAAATCGACAACCAAGTCAACAACTCCAATGACGGTATGACCGTCTTTGCCCCGACTGACAACGCCTTCGACAACCTCCCGGCGGGCACTCTTAACAAGCTGACCATGGAACAACAAGTACTACTTGTTCAGTACCATGTTTTGCCCAAGTTCTATAGCTTAACTGATCTTCTAACGGTGAGCAACCCGGTCCAAACACAAGCCAATGGCCCGAACGGTAAGAATTTCGGACTCAATTTCACCGGCCAGGGGAACCAATTAAACGTCTCGACTGGAGTCGTTGAAACCCAAATCTACAATGCCGTACGCTCTAATCGTCCTTTGGCTGTTTACCAAGTGGATAAAGTGTTGTTGCCATTGGAATTCTATGAATCTCTAGCTCCGTCCTCCTCTCCACCACCACCACCTGAAAACGCCCCAGCTAGTGGCCCCAGTGGTACAAAGACGACAGCTGCAAAGCCATCTTCTACAAATGATTCTGGGAGGATGAATGTGGGGGTGGATTTGGTTGCTGGTCTTTTGTTGTTTTGCATTGGATATCTTTCTTGAGGAAGCAAGAAGAATATAGGGGTCGTTTTCAAAATATGGTATAAGTTGCTGGGTGTCTGGCATCTATACCAACAACCATGAACTTTTGTATTTCTTTCTTGCTTGGCATTGTTTGATTGCTTCTTCATATCAGTTTCACTCTACATGTTTGTTATTTTTGTCTATCAAGATGGCTAAACTATTCATTTGGTTACTGTAATTAGTTTTTTTTTTATTTTTTTTATTTTAAAGAAGTATTGTCCAAACCATATGCTCATTGACCTTGTGTGATGTAGTAAAATTTGCAAGCTTCGTGTGTGTGAATGCGGGCGGGGCTGGATTTGAAGTTACAATCTCGAGATATTAGATCACTACAATCTTTCAATTTGAGCTAATTCCATGACTTACCATTGATGTATTTTAGGTTTTGGACAATATTTTTTACAAGATATAGCTGGCAACATCACATGTAGGTTGAACGATGAAAAATAAACAATTAGAGAAAAATGGACAATTATGGGCAACCTTAGCCATGCATTTAAATATAAACCGTTCTAGATCTCGAAAATTGGTGTCCACCTCATTATTCACAATTTCAACTAGAGAAAGGTTAAAAGAAATTCAACGTTCTAAGCACATTTCAGATTCCACCCCCCCCCCCCCCCCCCCAAAAAAAAAAAAAAAAAAAAATCCACCCCCGTCTTTGGTCAACTTTGGTTCTGGCCTCTGGAGTTCTGATTGGTTAGCAGGAAACTTAAAATATTGTGAAAAGCTAATCAATGGAATTCTTTACTCTAAGGTACAGTGAATGGTTTTTTGAGTACTCTTCCAGAGAATCGGGTAATCATTTCATATGGTTATTTCTAGTTCGGTTTGATAATGTTTTTTTTTTTTCAGAGTTTTTACTTTAGCGTTAACATTTGTTTTCTACTTTGTGCATTGTTGTTTTTCTTCTTCTCCAAATTAAACACTGTAATAGGATCTATAGGTACATATGTGTGTATTATGTATATAATAAGATGCGTATATACGGGACGGGGCAGGATTATGATTTTATTCTTAGGAGGCCAAATCTTATAAACAAATACTCGAATTAACAAAAATTCAAATTGCACACTAAGAGAATAACTGTAACTATGGTGTTCATTCAAATAAATCTAAGCAAAAATGATTCAACTCGAAAAATATTAATCAACTAGTAGTTGACCAACATCCCATTCAAGAATTCAAAACAACACTTTATATTAACCAATATACCAATGCACATAGAAAATACGAAAAAAAAATTTAATCAAAAAATATAATAATTTATTCCTATACTAGTCAATCTAAATTTTTATTGTAGTTAAAAAAATAAGAAATACTAACTCCTTAATATGCGGAGAACAAAGAAATGACTAAATTTGTTTCGGCCTAATCCACCAATTTTACTCTTGGATATAAAGACGGTTGAAATACATTGTTTCTAAGTTCTAGGGCAGTAGAATTTCTCTAATTTTTCATGGGGTTAGAGCTTTTCTTTATTTTAGATAATGAAAATTTGGACTAATTTGGAATGTATGATTAGTTTACTGGCTTTCCATTAAAATGTATTATAATATACTGACTCCCTATTCTCTCTCTTTCTCTCTCACTCTCTCTTCCCCCATTTTCTCTCTTGTTTATTTAGTGTTACATTTACATCACATTGCATGATACCGACATTGTGTAAAACATTGCATATGATATTTGTGTTTACAGTGTGACATTGGAGTCATACTTTTGATGCCCACACCATGAAAAAAAAAGTTCATATGATGTGTTGTTGCATTGTGACATTGGATTCACACTGTGATACTCATCAGTATTTTTGAATCTTTATATGAAGTGTTACATTGCCATCATAGTATGATCTTATCCATGTTCAAACCCTGTATATGGTATCTATATACATGCCACATTTTGATGCCCACAACATGCCAATCCCTAAGTCACACTGTGATACTTTCTATGTGCCAAAACTTACATATGTTGTGTGTATATAGTGGATATTGATGTCACATTATAATCCTCACAGTGGCCCAACTCTGTATATGTATTTTATAAGCAGTGTGACATTGGTATCACAGTGGCCAAACCTTCGTTTTTAATAAATTCCAACGATGTCGACGGTGTGTATTCTTCACAGTGAAACTTTCAATAATAATAGATTTCTTTAACACCCGAGAATAGTGTTTGGGTAGATATTTGTGTAATATTTGAATTTCAAATTTTTATCCTCAAATCGTATAAACTCTGGCGCCAATGATAGAGACATGCGAGTAGTTGTTGTCTCTTCCAATTCTTTCCGCCAGTTTCCTTAGACAAGTAGGAAACTTTTCAAATTGAAAAAGGATTATTTTAGACTTTAGCTTTAATGGGTGAACTATTTTACCAACATTTTTAAAAAGTGTACTTTTTTCCTAATAATTTTAATATTGTGTACCGCCCCCTGTTTTCCCTATTATTAATGGACCTTATGATATTTGTTTTGAATTGGACATAAGATTCTTAGGTCCATTGGAAACTCAGTCCTTATTTCTTATTAGGATCTTTACTGTAATTTATAAATACATGCATTCTTTGATTCTCTCAGGCATATACTTTACATCACGTTTAGAAGGGGTAGAGAGATCAATAGAGAAAATTCAAAAGATTACATCCCACAATGTAGAAGATCGTGAGGTCTATCGAGCCAACTATTTGATTTTGATTTGTCTTCATTCGTAATGTTCTTTACATCAAAGGTAAATCCTAATTCCGCCCTGTAGGGTTAATAAACAAATAGATTTTTGTATTCAAGTATATGTGTGCCGTCAACAAATTTTGGAATCGCTATTCCATCACATCTATACTCAAACCTGTATGCACATAATACATGCCCATGTTTTACTATTAAAAGTCTCCCAGCCATTATGCAATATATACACCTAGAGGCTATAAAAAAAATATATATATATTTTTTTTTTTGGGGGGGGGGGGTCTCTTGATGCCATTGAATAGTTATCCCACCCGCCTCTTAATTGGCCAGTAAATCCCACTGTTAAAAATTTAGCAGTAGTATGATCTGAATTACGATTAGCTTTACAAATAGATGTATACATTAAAATTTTATGTAAAACTTGATGAATTAAAGATTCTGAAATGCCATCAATATTCCATTCATATATATATATTTATTTTTTTTTAAACATTTTTTTTTTGGGGGGAGGAGAAGGAGGAAGGAGGACTTGAACTTTTGACCTCAACAAGGCAAAGCCTTTACAAGACAAGGAATACTATTGGACCAAAGACCCACTAGTAAATAAATAAAAGATGCATCATATCCAGTTTGTTTAATAAATAAGTTTTCCTCATATAAATTATCTTGAAGAGTTGGTCTTTGATAATAAGCTCTTATAGGGGGTGCTTGAGAATATGTGTTAGTTTATTTTTTAGTTTAGAATACCCAATTTTATTGACCTCCTCGGACTGCATTTGGTGTAAAGAATCTTCAAATTGTTTGATTTCAGTTTTAGATTGCTCTACACTTTCTGTTTAAGAAATTATATTTAATGACAAATTTTTTAATTTTTTCTTGAGTTCATTTATGAACTCATCTTCAACTTTATTATGAATGCAGAGGTATCAACTGGTGATTTAATATTAACTTTTTCAATTTCAACAGGTTTTTCATTTAAGGATTTAAAAGACGAGGCTTTTGTTTTTTGTTGATCTTTAATTAGATTTTTAATTTTAGTCAAATGTTGTCCTACAACTTGTAAGCACACATTTGTATAATTACTCTATTTTATAGAAATTTTTTTATTATGTCATTATCTTTTAATGTATAACAAGCATTCATTATAACTTCTCCTAAATCCTCTAAATTTAGTTTTATAGCTTTAATGGTTGAAGAATAAAAACTGTTAATATTTTTACCATCCAAGATTTCCCATTTCTTTTGAAAATTTTCAATTACATTTAATTGATCTACAATAGGTGGAGCAAAGAAAGTTAAAAACCATTTAACAAAAGGAATTATCTTTTTTTTTTCTTTCTATATAAAGGTAAAACATTTTTTTTATATCTTTTAAGATCTTCTTGATTCATAGTTTTTAAATACCAAGTTCTAAATCCTTTATATATATTTAGGAAGATAAAATTCTATATTTATTTATTTCTTATTTACTATAAATTCTTTTGGATTAAAATCCATAAAATTTATAGTTGAAATCAGATTTTGGATGGGGTTGGATCTTGATCTTCCTCTAAGGAAGATTCATTATCTTGTCTATAGATTTCATGTGAAATTTGGTTACGTGAGGTACAAATTCTCTCAATTGTAGGTTCTTTTCCCCTTATATTTGGAATATAAAAGTGTTCCTCCTACTTGGAGCATTATATATTGATGAAGTACTTAATTTAACAAAAAATTTTAAGCCCGAAAAATTATCTCTGGCAAATCTTATTATTACATCACCCTGGAATGATTGGGCGATCTGTGTTACTTCTTGATTTACTTTTGGTTTCTTAGGAACTACAACTTCCAACTTTCATATTTCTAGAAGCTGAATTTCTGACCATTTAATGGTTCTAGGAATTTTAATTTTAATTTTAATCATATTTGTTTCAATTAGAGTTGTTTAACTTTTAAGGTTATACAACTTAGCTTCTGAACAGAATATTCATTACTTTATAATATTCTCTATATGTAAAAATCATTATATTCCTTTCTTAAAATTATAGTCGTAAGTTTAAATATTGCATGTTAAAACATCTAGTATATTTTTATGCATTAAAGATACTGATAAATTGAGAAAACGATTAAAATAAACTGGGCCAGTTCTTAAGCTGGACTACATAACTCCCATTATAGATCAGTCAAAATCTAAACATCTAACATCTCTTAAGGTTAGCATAAAAGAGGCATTTAATCCTTGAAAGGTTAAAGTTTTTAAAGCCACTTGGACTAAACCAATATGCAAAAATTTATAATTTTCTTTAGCCTTTAAGACTTCTCT